TAACAAACATATAATAAAAAATGTTCATTGTGGTAAACGATATAATTAATAGTTTTAGTAATAGTTTTATTTTCTTCCCGATTTGTAAAAAAATTCTTACGTGATAGAAAATCCGTTATGAAAAGCAAAACAACTTTTGTGAAGTTGAAATTCGTAGGCCTGTGCTATCAATAAACATTACAAGACTTTTGTACGCAAAATATCAGATTTTTTAAGTAATGTTTTTCTCATTCTTTTATTTCTTTTCGCATGTTGACTATCCAACATGGAAAGTAATTTCCATTTTAAGATTAAAAATACTTTTATGCATCAGAAAATTTTCAATTTTCACATGCAAAATCTTTATAACCTCCATTAGGCCACGTCAAACCAAAAAAATAAAACAGCGATTGAGAACATTACCCTGAATAATTTCTGGAGAAAACAATATATATTATTTTATAATGGATATCAAGTTTACTACAAGCTAAGGTAAAATGTAAAACGATTTTTTTCTGTATTTATATATGGGTCTTTTATTACATTTGGACAGAATTATAATTCTTTCACTTGGTTTATGCTCCTAGTTTTCTTGGTAGAAACATCTCAATATAATTCTTTTCTTATGAATGAGTTTTCTAAATGACTTGCTAATTAAGACTATGTTTTCACAGTAAAGAAATTCTGAATTTCTGAAGTCGTGTCATAGTAACATCTTAAGTATAAGGCAATTTTGAGTTTTCATCTCGCTTTCCAGCACTTTCAAACTTCCAAAATACATTATCACTTTTTTTTCATGTGTCTGTGGATTGAGTTACTTAATTTCTAAAGATCTTCTTGGTAAAATATAGGTTTAGTTTACTCATGCAAAGCCTTCTGGTAAGAGATCAGAACTGAGTATTTTTAAAGGTGTAAAACTGTTTTCCTCCTTTTTTTACAAATTATGTTGTTAAATTGGTTTTGGCCACTCATCAGTTGAAAATACAAAATTCTGTCTTTATTCCATTTTGATTCTAGTTAATTGTTGCGATTAGTTTTTATTCTTAAGCCTGTGCTATCATCTAACTATATTAATAATTGTTGCAGAAAATGAAAATAAATCTGATAATATTAAAAATGCATTTTTGAATGACATTTAAATAATATTTTATATTGAATGTCTGATCCAATTGATATTTCAAACATATAAGTTTGAAGTTAAGCACAAAGCTACTCAATGGACTATCTGTGCCCTGCCTACCAGAGGAATCGAAACCCAGTTTCTAGCGTTGTAACTCGACAGATATACCGCTGTGCCACTGGGGGCTCCAACATATAAGAAGTTGAGATTTGGAGATTGATAAGACGTGTAACTTATAGAGTCAATTTTATCTACTATTTCTTGACATATAAACAGTCATCAGAAATGTTTTTTATAGCCCAACGTTTTTACTTTTACAGCATTGTAGTGATGAGACTTTTGAAGAAGATGGAGAACTGAAACGTGCGATAATAAAAAGAACATTTCTTAAATTATCAGAAGGCAAAAAATGAAAAAATTGACAACAAACCCAAAGATAGTTAAAAACTTCTAGTATACATTGTATCAAACGCAAACACAAATAATTCGCGTTAAGTAGGTAAAATCATCCAATTTCCGATAACATCAAGTAAAAGATATACAAAAATGAACAAATATATTATGGAAAATAATATAATGAGGTTGATTAAATGCCAGTTAAAGTAAATCAATTGCCAATTTTTATAGAAAGATATAAATAATACCAGCATTACCATATCAAACCTTTAAACATTTTATAAAATGTGTAAAACTTTTCTGACAACATAAAATATGTAAGAGGTGTAGCATTCTTAGATGTGTATAAAATTAAGAAAGTAAAAAAAGTGTTCTAACACAATAACTAACATCACCTTCATGATTCTGATAGTACAGTAATTATATTATAATAGAAATATTTGTGCAACATTTCTACATTTTTCATTTTGGAAAAAAATAATGAGCATTTATTAGTAGTCCTCTTGAAACTTAATCTGGTGTGATTAAAATTTTTTTTTCACACAAACGTACCTTGATTGTTATATAACTAGCACACTATTGTTTAAGTGAAATATTTACCTTTTGTAATATAAAATGTTCAACTGCTGAAATAGATTTCGAATTATAAGATAATTCATTAAAATTTGAAAATAATCTAGCTCTGGTTAACCCATCTTGTTTTAAAATGACTTATGTTTGACAGTTCGAATAAGTCAGTCTAAAAATTTCTTACATCTCAGAGTTCTTTATTCAAATTTCGATAATGTACAATTTTTTATTTCTATTTGATGAAACTACCAGAGAAAAGCATTTCATATGAAACGCCCCAATTGATTATACGACAGGAAGAAGAACATTGACAAATATTTGTAATTTCTACTTATTAAAAATAATGTAAATCAAGAATCAACGGCATTTAATATTTGAAAAAAATTGATATAAATAAAGCAATTGGCTAAAGCATTCTTTGAAATTCATCTTCTTACTAAGTGATAAATTTACAAATGCGTAACATCCCCCCCCCCAAACTTCCATATTGAATTGCTAAAATAGTATTTAAGAAAACTACACAACAGGCGTAACTGAGAAGCAACCCATCATCGTCTATAGTAAAGCAGTTTGGTAAGTATTTCGTGCTGTAATAAGACAGAAAATACCAAAAGCAGGCTAATATAAGTTTTAACAGTAGAATCCCATTTAATAGCATTTCAGTAATACTTTGTTTCGAAGAGCGTTCCCGACTTGAGTTGCTAATAAATGTTGTGAAATTATAAAAATAAAATTTTAGTGAAAAAAGGTGTTCAAAACAGTTGTGTGATATTACCAAGCACATGAAAAGTACCAACATGGATGAAACGTGACTATTTTTATAATCTAAACAATGGAACTAGATCAAGCAGTTAGACAGTAGTATATCATTTTGATAAATTATCAGTTTCAACATCATGTTGTTGTAAAACTATTAGGCATAATAATCGAAACACAATTTATAAAAAACAACAACAAACAAACGGATATTGTTTGCTAATATTTTTATATTGCATATTGGGACCGGAAGTTCGAATGCTTATCCCCTAGTTTCTTTCAATTGAGCCTTTATGGGCATTTGTGTTTAATTTATAAAAAAAACAACAACAACAATTTTTTTCTATTGCATGTGAGGACCAGAAGTTGAAATACCTATCCCGAGTTTCTATTGAGCTTTTATGTTTCAGCTGTTCTTACTCGTACACTTTAACCAGTTGGATAACTGTTTCTGTACTGAAGCTGTTTTTATATCAATTTCTTACTTTACTTTGAATCTTTTTTCTTTAATAAAATGAGTTATGATTCTTTATAAAAAGAATACAGTAAAATAGTTTAGTATTAAACAATCTATTTTGCAGCGATTTTAAATATATATTTGTTGATATTTATCAACACTGTCTTCGTCATCCCCACTTTTTCATCAATTAAATGAAATCATTTTGTTGAAATGGATTTTGATGCCATCTATTTATCCATTCAATTACTTATTATGTAAAATAGCGAACTTGGTTATTAAATATATGTTATTTTTTCAGATATTTATATAAACATTCTTTTCAAAACAAAACTGTTTTGCGTCAGTGGTTATAGTGTCACAACCATATAACGTTTACATCAGTGTTTCTTCGAAACATTTCCTGAATGTAACTGTCTAATAACACACAATAAATATAATACGAAACAATTACTTTAATAAAGGCTGTGGGACAGTGTTTTTGTTCAAATCAATAAATAAATAAATTTTGGGAAAGTTGTAATTAACCCAAACACATGAAGATTGTTTGCTATATATTATCATATAACAATAACTTGAAATATATTGTTCGAGTTATAATGTTTAAAACAAATATTTTGGCCAACTATAAGAATTTGAAATGTCAGTTTGTTATAAACGAGAGGCTAGCTTGTTGCTATGTCCACCATCTGCTACTGTGACTGAACGTAAGATACATGAGTTGACATCGATAACTTAGACCTCTTCGTGGAAATAGCCGTATGACCAGGAGTTTGTTGGCGCTTTTTATACCGTATGTAGGATTTTGTGAGTGCATCCAAAACCTGCAAAACACACAAGTCACGTTACTTTGTTATATGTAAGAACATCTGGGCAACAAACTGAATATGCTTTCTTTATGTATATATATTAATATATTATTATTATTATTACTATGTTTGTTTGTTTATAGTTAAGCACAAGCAATGGGCTATCTGTGCTGGGCCCACTACCAATATCCAAACTCTGTGTTTAGCGTTATAAGCCTTCAGATTTGCCGTTGTGAAAACTGGAGGACATATTATTATGTAACTGAAATGGATACTTAACATAAATGCTATGACCTGTGTTAATATTAAGGTATTATATATATTAATGCATGTTATGTGTTTGTGAGTTTGATTGCCTGTAAACTCCTGCCACAGTTTTGGAGCTTTAGCAACACGAAACTTCGAAGGTGTCCTTTATCTGTATGGCGAGTTTCCTTATCAAGACGGTACCAAGGGGAACTAAAACGCACTAGGATTGTCACCCAAGTATGATAGGATCTAGTAGTAGGGTTTTAGGGTCGCTGAGCCCGAATCTGGGATAGGAATTTGTGTTTCTGCCCTCCCCTTTGAATCCCGGCGTTTGCTTTTGGGTCCGATCCTCTCTTTGGGTAGCTATGTAGATAATTGGGGGTAATAGAGGATCTTGATCGGTACATTCGGGTCTCCGTTAATCTTGAGGGGGATTTGAACACCGCAGCGGTGTAATCATAGTTGACCTTTCTGCAACTGTGAGTTGTAGGAAAATTCGACGGGATAAAAGTAATAATGCACCCGTATGTTAAAGTGAGCAAATGTCGGAAAAATATGAGTATAAATGGTAGACGAAAAAAGTTATCATCTCTTAAGGTTAATCAATATTTTATTTTATTTTTTCCAGTAATGCATTTTTGGCGCCAGAGCATATTCTCGAGAGATTCGACTTTCTAATTAGTCACATCTCCAAAATAGCATGAAATAGTCAAAATTAAAACTGAATCAATTAATCGTTCAAAACTACAGAAAGTGATTGGTGTTGTCATGAGGACGCAGGCTCGAAGCTTAAAGAGCATCGTCTAAAAGCCTATAAAATGTTTCAACTCCACTGAATTACAAAAATGTATCTGGAAATCTCTGTGTCTTTCGCCGTTGATTGATCTAAGGGGTAAAATAAAACTGACTGAAATCTTTGTGTACCTGTAGGTTTCACCGTTTTATATCAAACTAAAATATACAACTTGATATCTTTATATTGAATACGTTTACCATAAAGCAAGAAACGTCATACTACATTTATTAAAAATATTTAGATTAGCATATGTTTGGTCGATAAAGTTTTATGTTTTTAATCATGCTGTATCATGTTGTCTTTCCTTAGTAGATTTACATACTAGGTACATTTTAGTATGAAGTACGGCGTAAATAACGAAATAAGATAAAGTTTTTTTGGTAGATTAAATAGATTTATCCTGATAATTTTTTATTTTCACAAGTACTAAGGGACAATGAATAAAGCTAGATAAATTATAATATTAGCCTCTGGAACACAAAAGTCTGTACATACAGAATCAACAATGAAATTTCTTAACAATTGTTTATCAATAAGGCTAGCAATAACAAACTTAAATTTCTATGTTTTCCTTACTGATCTTAAAAATAGAAACAAGCAACATAAATTTGATAATAAGTATGAAATTACCTCTCTGTTTAGGTAGCAAAATATTAAAGCCACTAGAAACCCCTAGAAAAAAAAAAGTCATATTTAATTTAAGCAAGAGTAATCGTTTTCAAAACAATAACATGAGTAATGTAAGTATAAGTATCAGCAGGTATAGAAAATATTATTTGTGCTAAATACTGATTTTCTTATATTTTATTTAAAAGATTGCTTAGTCATTATTTTCAGAAAAATAACGATGTCCAGAATTTTACATCGGAGAAAGAGGTAGAAAAACTGGAAACCAGATTCACTGAACATAATAAAAAATCCTCCCATGTTTACTACCATTGAAACTCAAAAAGCCACAGTATATCCATACAAAACATTGTACAAAGAACCTAACATCAATAAACGTAAAATAAAAGAAATATTTGTTCTATACTACATATATATACTCACGTATCTCTGTGAATTACTTGTACCTGAGAATGACAAAATCGAAACGTCGTACATTGATAATAAAGTTTTTTTCGTTACCCAGCCAAACTGTCTCAAAACTTTTATTTCCTTCTAGTAACGTTTCTAACTTATACTTATCAGCAAAACCATAAAATACCTCAAATTATAGACTTACGAATAATGTTTGTGTTAAACTTGTAACTTGTTGTTGTTTTTAATAAAAAGTGAAAATGTAAAAGTTTCTTTTTTTGCTGAGCACAAAGCTACACAATAAGCCATCGATGCTGTACCCACTATATATATATATATATATATAAACTAATTTTGTGCCATCTTCTTGGTCTGACAATATCTTTCATGATAATAATGATATTTTGATTATGTAGTTAACAGTTGCTGATATTATGATGTTTGAACATTTATAACTCTAACTTGACAAATACTATGCCTTTCACCAAGATGTTTATAGACTGCTAAAGTTACATCATATTTCACCCAGGTAAAGGGTCAGATTATTTGAAATATGAAAAAGTGGTAACATTTAGGAAATAAGAAAACTACATTGATGTTAATTATAGCCTTGCAAAATATAATACCAAAACATTATGAGCAAAAAATATATTTATAGGGAAAGCTAAACTAGAGTATGTTTCAATTAATTATACATTTCTTAGGTAGTTGTAGTTGTAAGACATCTCTGTTGGTTAATAACGTAATGTGAACCGAGTTTATTATATACTCTGGAAACACATGTTGAACTGTTATTGTGGAATCAACAGATATATGCAGTTTAAAAAAATAACTAATATTATGTCGTGGCACACAGTTCCAGATATTTCAACTCATTAGATGACCTAAAAAAACAAAAATTAGCTCGTTGTTTTTGTTACTTCAGAAAAATTCAGAATTATATGGAAATTAGTTTTGATAAAATTGTAATTCTGAACTAAAATATTACAAAAAATTGTAAATCAAAACCAAGCAAAGCAAAATTTAAAGAGTTTACATTTACTATTGCCGCATTTTAGTACATCTATGGAATCTTGAGGAATTCATATTAATATTCTATTGTTTGTTACAATTGTATCTTTTTCATCTAACAAGTCAAACTGTGGACATTTCTTTACACGCTTATATTTACATTTTTGTCATATACGTTTTTATTTTTTATATTATTTTCACATTTTCTTACTTTTTTAGTTCAAATGAGAAACACCATTGAACATACGAAGATTTTTTGTAAATAATTGATATGCTCATTGTAATTACGTTTAATTCCATACTTGCCTGTAAACCGTCGATGCTGTGCTGGAAATAGTAGTAAATATTTAGAGCTTCACACTCCATCGACTGAGGTGTAAAACTCACCAAGAACAGATGAACGCCAAATAGTGGAAATAGTGCCATCGTTGCTTTCACAGCTGTCCTGAAACATTTTAGTTTGAGTTAAAACAATTTTGTAAAACTAAACTACTGTTCCACAGCTGTCCTGAAGTATCTTAGATTACCTTGGAGCAATTCTGTAAAATACCAACATATGTGATGAACTTCGTAACTGTATTTAGGGCTAAATATTTCTAATCGATCTATTGTGTAATATTTGCCATTTTATGTTAGACAAAATTAAGCAAGAAAATATTAAAAAACAAAAACAGGTATACTTCATTGGTATAATAGATAACATTTATATTACTTTTAATATTGTAAAAATATTACCTACTTATATTTCTGTCTGTCTGTATATTTAATCATGTAAAGAATGATCTATGTAATTACCTGTACTGGTTAAGCTCATTGGTCTGAACTGCTCTCATTTTCATAACCAACACTCTGATGATATTACACAGGAACAACAGGTTAAACTGCAATTAAGTGTAGTTTTATTAAACTTAAATATGCTTCCAACTTTGATAAATTACCTTTTTACATGTGGTAAAAGATACATAAACTTGTATTATTTATTGAAGACTTGAATACTAATTTAAATAATCGTTATAGATATATAACAGATGGGAAGCTAAACCTTTACCTTAAAATTTTTAAATCTGTGTATTTTATTAGTGCGTTATCATGGTCGTTTGGTGAGAACTACTCATAAATTCGAAATCATACCGTTAGGAGATTTAATTGATTTCATTTTACATTTAAGAAAATATGTATATACAAGCCTGTATCTTGGTTTTACTGTGAACAGAACGCACTGAAACAATTATTTATATAAACATTTCTACAGAAGTGATTAAGTTATCCGTCATTCCTTGATTTAAATGCCAAATCAATCTCATTAGTAATTCATACATTTAAAAACAAAACTACATTTCTTTTAGAGCTTTGTAGCAATTATATTTAAAAACAACTTGAAAGTGTGATAGTGAGGGTTCCTTTGTGAAAGTTTACCCGCATATAATTTATTAAACGTTGGTAACAGAAGTCACATTCAGTATGTTATCCATTAGGAACTCTTTGAAACGAAAAAAGTTTAGGCTTGGAGCGAGAAGACAAATAATCGTTTGGTTAATGTCTATTGTTCTAATCTAGAAATTAATGAGCATTTGTGTGTGAATACATATAAATATTAATATATTGTATTTATTGAAACGTGTTGGTAACTGAGAGAGTTGGAATTAACAATTTGGAGATATGTTACGATTACATCAAAAATGCGGGTTCTGTTTTATTTCCACAACGTATTCAATGTATTATGATTTCTTTGTTCATTAACGACGTTTTCCAACTTACTGTTTTGTTGTTAAATACAAAACAACACATTGGACTATCTACCTACCATAGGTATAGAAACTCGATATTTAGCGTTATAAGCCCTAAAACTTACCCATGAACCACCGAGGAGCTTTTCACCTAAGTTAAACATTATCTAAATAGAGATTGTGCTCCATCTATGAATATCGGTAAGCATTAGTACAAACATAAAAATAAAACTTCAATCAGTAAAATGTCGCAATATGAAATATATTGATCTCTTTGAAAGTACTCTATTTTGACACCAAGTTTCTTATTTATGAACCAGTTACACGCACAAAAAGCTAAAAGAGCTTGTTTAAGGTGGATATCAGTTTGTCACTTACTTACGAACCAGTTAAACATGTATTAGAAGGGACATGAACTTTTTCAAGGTGAATATAAGTTTGTCCCTTACTTAAGGACCGGTTACACACACTAAAAGGTACACGAACTTTTTCAAGGTGAATATAAGTTTGTCCCTTACTTATGGACCGGTTACACACACTAAAAGGTACACGAACTTTTTCAAGGTGGATATAAGTTTTCACTAAAGAAACTTTTATTTGAAATATTAGAGTCATCAAAATTCTACACCAACCCCAGAATAGGTAACCAGTTAATGACAAACAAGGAAAATCACAAATAATTTAATAAAACATTAACTGCAGCATTATGTGCTTTCCATACTTACCACTAAGCTCAATAAATTTGGTGCAGTCAATATCCACTCATAGGGCTCCAGAGACTGGGACCAGCACCTTGAGGATGAATCAGTGAACTTACAAAAACAAAGATATAAAAACAACAAAAGAAAAAAACACTATCTTAATTAACTTTGTTTTACTTTTTAAGTATTTTAATTAACATTTAAACCACATTTAAAAATACGAAATTACAAACAACTGCTACTACATCATGATATTATTTCAAATATAAAAATCTCTAATATACCTGTAAGAGACTAGAACTGACTCCATTTCCTTTTTCTCTTATCATTTTTGTACATTTTCTCTTTCGTGGAACAAGTTTTAAAAGCTTTGTCATAATTTCTTTTCCTTGGAATTATTTATATCAGTTGTGTCATCTTACTTTTTCTGAGTTAATGTAGCTATTTTCACAACGGACAAAATGGTTCCTTCATTGTATTTTACTCTTACAAAACTACAACTTTATTACGGTATTATAGATTTATTATTACAATAAAATTAGAACACGACTACCATGTTTATACAAATAAATTGTAATGATGGCATGTGTCACAACAACAAAATATAACAAACAATTATAAGGTAGGAATTTTCATTTTGCTTAGACCTTAGATGCAAAGAGAATTTTAAAAAACTAATTTTCTGACCATATTTAAATATTTTAATAAAGCACTGGGAGAACAACATATATATACCAGATGATATTTAAAAATATTTTGATGAAAGGCATAAGTACAAGGGTGTGATATATAGTTTTCATATTCTTGATTAGATTAACTATTCAATAATTCATAAGCATTTCCGGATAACTTATTTTTATTTTCTTACCTCTCGTCCTTTAATATTTTCCGTAAAATGCCGTAAATACCCACTATAAGTGCTGGAGATACTGCAAACAAAATAAATAACGATATTAATGTAAGTTAAGAAATACGTTTGCTGTGTACGCTTGGAGAAAAAAAATAGCAGCATAAAGACTGCACGAATTAATAAAACACTTTTTTTTAAAACGTGTGTGTTTCTCATGGACCACTAGATATATAGATTTGTAAGTAACCATATGTTTACGCAACTTGCAACAACATCTGATCTCTTAAAATCTACTACATTAAGTTTCCAGTGTGCTGTGTGTCAGACATGCTACATTCCTTTGCTGTGATTTTTTTCATTAATTGAATTCCAATGCTCAGTGTGTTTCTCAACTAAAATAATTATATACACTTTACCATCAGAATACCGACCAAAACTCATCTTGTTTTGGCCTAAACATGTGTCACTGCTACAGATCAGTATGGAGATGTGTGAGTTATATTAGTTGATACTCGATCCACGTTATTTAGCCTTTGCTAAAAACATTCAGTTATCAGAACTTATATACACATGTTTAGGGTCAAAATAACGTAAAAGCTATATTTTGGTCTACACAGTACTTTAAAGCTTTTTTTTTTCGTTCAAGTAATAATACGAAAATAAAGAGAAGAAACACAATTGAATGTATGTTGATACAAATTATTTGATGTATTATGCATAAGAACTATAATTTTGCAAAGTTCTTATATATATTTAAGGACTTCATAAAATGTGTACGCAAACAAATGGCTTTAAATTTTTATGCGTTATTATTATTACATGTTTTAAATAACTTACCCCATCCAGTGACATAGAATACAATCATGTTCGTCTGTTTAGCGAAGGCAGCTACAATTAGTTTATGAAGATAAAAACCTTCACAGAACATCCACATATATGTCGTCATTCTGAAGTACTTAGTTAAGATCAGAAGTATCTTACAGCCACTCTAGAATGACAAAGTTCTTTTTTAATTGGTTTAAGCTGTTGACTATCAGGTTAGGGATTTATCAGAATCAATTTCTTCCTTAGTAAACCACAAAGAAACTACAATTATGTAAAACAGAAAATACAACATACTTATGTTATAAAACAGAGTAAACAAAAGGGTAACATAAAAATATAATTACAGAAAAGTGAAGAATATGATTAGAGCTAAAAACATGCAAACAATTGAATATTTATCAAACATTAAATTCCCAGAAAAATATTATTTTTAACTACGATACATTAAAAATAGTTTGGCATTTCGGGCTTTTCTGGACACACACTCACAAACAAGGTATGGATAACAACTCAAAACAAAAATTAATTTAATAAATCCAGTTTTAAAGAAAAGGAAAAGAAATTTTTACACTCCAGACTAACATTATCTAGTGGATACCTTTCGCTGACCACTTGCTAATGTATTAATTGACGTGAATACCGTGTTAATTGATTAATAAAGTCTTACAATACAAAAATATTCTTTAATTGTATATATCGTAACTGGTTAAACAAACTTAGAAAATATTATGACATGTTAAGCAAGAAGAAATTAAAGAACCAATAGCAATTTAAAATTGTACTTTCTACTCTGTCGAATCTCATTAGCATAACGTTATTTCTAATGACGGGTATTCCACATATAGTTAAATACAGTATTACTTAGTAAATGAGAAAAATAAATGAAAAACACTAATTATAACTCATAAAAGATACTGAATAAGTAAGAAACTGGGCTATATTCTTTAATAGGCCGCCCCCTCTCTGGAGTTACAATGTCACACTCTATCTTAATTAGCAAGAAAATTAGATTTCAATTTAAAAAGTGTATTTTATTGCTATATATTTGAAGTATAACGAATGTTTTTTTTACACGTGTGCATTTAAACTGCTGTTGTATATTTTATATATATTAAAGCCACATTGGGCTATCTGCTGTGTCCACCGAGGGGAATCAAACCCCTAATTTTAGTGTCGTAAGTCCATATACTTACCACTGTCCTAAGGGAGACCTACTGGTGTTGTTAAACAATACGTTTAATAAAAATGCTGTTCATTATTCCGTATTTCCGGTTTTTAATATTAATGGTTCAGGTAGATTTACTGAAAGTTGTTTCTGTTATATAATCTAAAAACTTCAGCCAGATAAAATCAGATTCATTTTAATGTTGTATTTGTGAGTCATCTATTCTAAACAATGTTTATTTGAGGGTGTTTTTTTGGGAATGTGGGTTTCGGTTATTGTGTTTTAAAAATCATAATAAACTATAATTTCATAAATTTAGTGTCTAAACATTATTGCAATATTTAACTGGGAGAAGATGACAAAAATCATCATTATATTCAAATGTTGAATATTTTTAGTCTAACGGTAGTTAGTACTGCTTACATAGTCGTATTTAATCTTTGAGAAACCCAACTTATGATTTTAGAATGGGCTCCCTTCGAAGTCGTACGTATTGATATTTGAGAAACACTATTTTCGGTTTAAGAATGGGCTCCCTTCGAAGTCATGCGTGTTAATCTTTGAAAAACACAATTTTCGGTTTAAGAATAGGCTCCCTTCGAAGTTAATCTTTGAGAAACACAATTTTAGGTTTAAGAATGGGTTCTCACGGAAGTCAAACAGCTAAGTTATGGAACATTCTTTAATTTGCTTTATTCGAAATCACACGAATATACATTATCAAAAGTGAACAAAAATATATTATTTTATTACTACATATATGTTACAGAAAACACTTATAGAGTTTCATTATATAACGTTACATTCACGGTCTTTATTAACCTATTTAAGATAATCAGTTATATCATCAGCAAAAAAGAAAAAGCAGCCATAAATGCATTAAAGTACTTTAAACAGTTAAAGTAATCTTTGGCATTTCGTTATTACACAGTTACAACATAACCATACAAACAAGGATTACGAAACTCGAATAATTTTTGATTACCTTTAGATAGTATATGGAAACTAAACTATTTTTTAAATAGTAGTTTTTTTGGAATAATTGAAATCGCATTTAGTTTGAAAAGGATATATGTTTTTATATAGTGATTGCGTGATTTAATACGATAACTTATATTTCCTTCTGAAAAACTGATTGGGATACTAGTTAGATTACTTGAACTAAGTTCGAAGTATAGCTTTGACAGCAAGCGCAAGTGTAATATAAATATTTACGATAAATTCTTTTATGTGCTAATAACTGTTTTTTAGTTAAAGCTTCTGAAAATTGCGAAATATTTGTGTGTTATCAGTAAGCTATCTAGCGTTGCGTCCTACTACAGAGAAATACAGTGTGCAACCACGATGTTTATTCCAGAAGTTATACCTTAATTGCATGAATTTGTCACTTCTAAAAGAAAGAGAGAAAACGAAAAATGATCTTACGCCATTTTGGTTTAGTACAGAGTCGTCGGTTTCACTGTTTACACGTAATTCTTGGAGCTTAAAAACGGAGTTGAAAACAATGACGACCACAGCATTCAATAATAATGAGGTAAACAAGTTCTTGTGCATAATATACTTTGGTAGGTGAAATTGTCTGTAATAAAAACATATTAACAAACAGACAATTGATAAGAATTATAAAAAAAAAATCAGTATTAATATATTGACCCACTACTTAGGTCAGTTAGGTTATGTTGAATAACACTCAACTTTGAATGAAATATTTCTCTGGAACAAGATCCATTGCATGCTGTTTTTGTTTTGTTTAACTTAAAGTATAAACACAACTGAAGCTCTAATTGCAAAGTACAATATATATAGGTCTATTAATTCATTTGTTTTCATCTTATGACAAAATGAACATATTATACATATATATATATAATATAAACACATCCAAAGAGAAATTTTAAAATCTGATAGCATAATAGTAACTATAAAATGTCAAGTACTTCAAGTTATCTGGGTACTAAGCGTAGGTCTACTTAATAATTAAAGATACATAAAAGGCCTCACTATCTTCTTCAAAATTCACATAAAACAAAGGTTAGACAGTAATACAAATTTTCAAACAGTTACTTAAGGGTTTCAGAATTTCCACTAAAAGCTAAACAAAAGCACAGATGTTCGTATTTTTGAGGTGATAAACTAGAGAGAAACCAGGTTGGCCAACAGCACCACCGGCAGCTATTGGGCTATTTTTATCTGACCGAATAGGGGGATTTAACTTATACTTTTATAACGTACCCATGGTCCTAAACTGGAGCGCATATTTGAACACAGTTTGAACACGGTAGCCAGTAGTCATGTCCACTTCTTATTTAAGGATACAAATATTTAAAATGTTTACTTACCTGTAGACAAAAAAGATGATAATAGCTGGAATCAAGGCAATCACAGAAACGACGAAAGAGCCGATGAGGAAGTATGTTCGTTCTTTAACCATCTTTCGAACGAAAACAAAAACAAGCAATAAAATTGTTAATGCAGAAGATGTTTATTTTAATATTCTTACTTGATAGCCAAAAAACTGTTTATACAAATGATGCAGGAGATGTTTATTTTAATATCCTTACTTGATAGCCAAAAACTGTTTATACAAATGATGCAGGAGATGTTTATTTTAATATCCTTACTTGATAGCCAAAAACTGTTTATACAAATGAGATATTTATGAATGAAGTTAAAAAAATTGAATATTTTAACTCCAGACGCAGAGACTATGAGTTTCTGTTCAAGAGAATCAGATGATAGGTGTTGATAAGTTTTGTTTTTAATATACGTCTTACAAATACGACATTATGCATATAAAACTTCAAAATCTCCAAAAATCCTACAGGTTTAAAAATGAGTATTTTAAGTGACTACTAAACCACCTTTACACCTATGACGATCGTTGCTCAAAACATGTATATTATTTTATGACTGTGAAGATAGTTTGTACACAAAACATAAGAAAATAATTAAATATGATTAAACCCATAACGGTACCAGATAAGTTAAGAGAGTCAACGTAATATAATACAATTTCAAGCCTTCAGAATTAAAATAATGTTATTTTTGAGTAGTTATGTCAAATTACACATTAATTTGAATTATGTTAAATAAAAGACAATTCATACATAATAAAGTTAATATGTAAAGCAAATATTATGAGCCAATTCTTCCGCCCTAAAATTTCATACTTGTGTGTAACTAGAGGTTAAATAAATTTTCGAAAAAGTATAATATAGATAATATGAAACATTGCTTTTTACATGGTATCTGTGTGTAGTATACGAGGTTGCTGATGAAACCTATATTTCGAAAATATTTTTAAAAAATGTAAGACTAGATATGGTTATGCAGTAGTACCTTAGTAAGAACTCTTAATACCCAGCACTTTCAATCATCAGTCACTATTATCAAAACGATAATTGCTTAAATAATTTGATCATAACGATTTAATTCAAATTTCCTTTAACATAGTTTAATTTTTTCCAAATATGTTGTGTATACTTCACAAAAACGAAACTACATATGTTCACAAAACTTTTGTAAAAAATATATATTATAAACCAAAATGTCTTGCTAATTCAAGACACGAAATATTCATTCAACTTTGATAAACTAGCATACACAGAAATTCGTTTGACAGTTTTTCAACTTCAGCTTATGACGTCATCTAAAGAAATATGAATTAAGAAACATTCTAAGTAGGAATTTCTCTATTTCGTTTCTTGCGTAGTAATAAAGAGTTGTAAAGCAATCTCCTACTGTTTTTATTTACGTATTAAGAAATTTTAGAAGTTTTGATCAATATATTAAGGGTTCTTCCGTTAAGTATTACATTCTGATAATAAATTGGCAAACAACGATTTATAAGCACAATAAAATGTTTTTCTTCGTGGCAAAAATCAACCACTTCATTATGTTTATAAATTCGTGTTGGCCAATTTAGTTTTATATTAGCATAATGTACTTCCATACTGAAATATAATATTCTGGGGCTAATACTAAAATTAATATTTAACTTTGAAGGCTATAGGCTTTATGGTGAATAATTGTTTTCTTGAAAATTACTTTTATTGATTTTGGTAGAAAGAAGCTTCAAGGATGATTTCATCAGCTATTTTTATATCCAATGTTCTGTCAAGTTTTAAAAAGTATTAGAGCTGGTAATGATTAATAACAGTCTAATGTTTGTTATAGCTGAGAGTGAAAATGTTCTAAATTTACCTTCAATATACCACATTTATTATATTCAGTCCATTCTTTTCCTGGAAACTTCTGAAACCACGTGTTGTTTAGCAAACACTTTTTTTCTGCGTATCCTGCAATAGGAGAAGGTGTTTAAACGTTATTTAAACTGCAAACTCATAAGAGATGAAACTAACAAACGGGTAATAAACCAATATTATTTCAAATTAAATTGAAAATAAATATACATTTCTGGAACTTCAGTTTTATTTTTTGAGTGTTATCCAATTCTTCTAATTGTTCAATAATTAACTATTTCAAACACCTAGTTTAGAAGATCAATTATTTTACTTCTTGATTTATCTTTAAATAAAATGTTTTTACATTCCTTTATTCAGTACTAGAAAGAACTGATTTTTGTATCTTACTTGGACAGCTCGGAGGATTACCAGTCCAATAAATATGGCTAGGACAAGGCTGTTTCGCAAGAACGCCTGCCTGTGTATCCGGCCAGCAAAGCCAACCATCCCACGTTCTCGGACAAAAGGAAGAATCTAGAACAACAATTATATTTCCTGACACAAGTAGAAATAAGATAAAACAAAATTTATTTATTTCAGTTAGCAATGATATGTGAGGTTGGGGTATACTATAGGGTGGGAGTGGTAGTACTTGCCCCGTCAATTTTGACGGGCTATGCGCTAGTTAAGATATATTTCGCAATAGAACATTGTGACTCAACATTTGGTTTTATAACAATAGATCATTGTGACTCAACATTTGGTTTTATAACAATAGAACATTGTGTCATCAGAGTTGGTTCTTTAACAATAGAATATTGTATCACCAAAGTTAGTATTGTAACCGTAGAACATTGTGTCACAAGAGTAGGTTCTATAACAATAGAAGATTGTATCACTAGATTTGGTTTCGTAACATTAGAACGTTGTATCGCCAAAGTTAGTACTGTAAGAATAGAACATTGCGTCACCAGAATTGGTTCTGAAAGAATAGAACATTGTATCACCAAAGTTAGTACTGCAACAATAGAACACTGTATCACCAGAGTAGGTTCTGTAAGAATAGAACATTGTATCACCAGACTTGGTTCTGTAACAATAGAACATTGTGTCACTAGAGTAGGTTCTATAACAATAGAAGATTGTGTCACTAGAGTGAGTTCTATAATAATAGAACGTTGTGGTTATTTGGTTGTTTGGTGTTTTATGGCGAAAAGCAACGAGGCTATCTGCGTCAAACAACCGGTTAAAAAAGTGAAAGTAAATTAGATTAAAATTTAAAGTATAAAAATACAGCGAGTTAAAACCAAAATATGTCCAAAATTTGGATAAAAGATTTATATACAATTAAAAAGGCTAATAGTGCGTAAAAATTAAAAATACAATCAAGTCGGACAGTGTCACCATCGCCAATGACACTATCCAACGTCAGGGATAAACTCTTACAAAACACGTGTCTAAAATGGTGCCGCCGCTTACGGTCGTAACGACGGCTCGACAGTAAAATGTGGGCTATTGTGACTTGAGCGTCACAATGACTACACATTGGTGGATCAATACCAGATAACAGAAAACGATGGGTTAAAAACTGTGACCAATGCGTAGCCTTGCCAGGACAACTTCCTCCTTCCGATCCTTACGGAAGCAAGATGGCCAAAGACAAACAGAGGGTTTGACCTGAAAAAGCTTGTTATGACGTTGCTCATCCCAAGTCGACTGCCAACTGGCACGAAGCCGTGCCTTGAAGACAGGACCGTAGTTCATGTACGGGACAGGCACGGCCGTGATGGCATCAGAGCAGGCGGACTTAGCTGCAGTATCATCGAGCTCGTTCCCGTGAATACCGACGTGGGCAGGTATCCAGAAAAACTGGATGGAAACAGAAGATAGAGAAAAATGGGCCAGTCGTTGTTGAATATCGACGAGAATAGAATGAGAACTAGCGTGATGCGATTCCAGGGCCAGTAGAGAGTTAAGAGAATCAGTGTAAATAGTACAATCATTGTACTGCATAGCTTTTACATGATCCAGGGCAAGAGAAATAGAATACAACTCAGCAGTGAACACAGAAACTGTAGAGAGGATCCTGTGAGCAACTATGGAGCCACAGTAAACCATGGCAGAGCTTACAGAGACACCCAATTTCGAACCATCCGTGTAAATAGGAAGAGAAGAATGGTTTGAAAGATGTTTAGCAAAAAGAAGATGGTACTTCCAATCGGGAGTATCTGCCTACCTCAGATGACTCAAGGAAGGGATGGTAATAAGCCATGGTGGAATGGGCTGATCATTGGGGACAGCAATGTCATCCAATGCCAGACCCAAGTGAGCCAGTAGTGCCTGGATGCGAAGGCCAAAGGGAAGAATTGCAGACCATCTGTTCTGAAAGAGCACGGCCCACAGAGGAAGAAAGACACAATCCCAGGTTGGATGCCATGGTAAGGATCGAAGTTTGGTAGCATATTCTAAAGAAAGTTGCAAACGATGGAGGTAAAGAGGAATCAGTATACAAACTCTAAAAGGAGAAATTTGAAAAGCCCCGGTGCAGAACCAAAGTCTCAGATGGTGAATGGGGTCCAGCATATTCAAGGCCGAGGTCCTGGCAGAACCATAGACCAAAGACCCATAGTCAAATCAGGGCACGATAGATCCTGAGCATAGAACACTGATCCACTCCCCACGAGGTGGAAGAGAGGACATGGAGGATGTTCAGAGCCCTTGCACACCTGATACGTAGCTGCTTGATGTGTGGAATGAAGGTAAGCTTTTGGTGAAAGATAAGCCCAAGAACTTTGCCTCAGGGACCACACAAATAACTATATTGCCGAGACAGAGCTTGGGATCTGGGTTGAGATCACGTTGGTGCCAAATATGCATGCAAACAGTTTTGGAAAAAGAAAATATAAGACCGTTTGCAGTGATCCACGTCAACAAGCGATTGAGGGCAGGCTGAAGCTGCTGCTCAATAAACCCCATGCTCGAGATGTGGAAGTCGTTGACATAGAGCCCATTTGCAACAGTTAGAGGAAGATTAGCAGTGATAGCATTAATTTTAACACTAAAACGTGTGAGACTCAAGACACAGCCCTGAGGGACTCCAAGTTCCTGTGGAATAGACCGGGAAGAGTTGAACCCACACGGACTTGGAATCACCTGGTCAGTAAAAAGTTTTGAATAAAAATGGTAAATGGCCATGCAACCCATAAGCCTTCTCAAGATCAAAGAATACAGAAACAAGATGTTCTCTCTTGAGAAAGGCTTCCCTGATTGACGTTTCAAGTCGAAACATATGGTCCATGGTGGAGCACTGTTGACAGAACCCACACTGGGTGGACGAGAGGAGCGTGTTCGATTCGAGGAACCAAACAAGACGAGTATTAACCATCCTCTCCTGGACCTTACAAAGACAGCTAGTCAAAGCGATGGGACAATAATCAGAAGGAATCTTGGGATCCTTCCCAGGTTTAGAGAAAGGGAGGACAATAGCTTGGCGTCAAGCATCAGGAAAAACAGATCTGGTTAAACATAACCAGAAGAATAGCAAGAGAGGCAGGAGAGAGATGGCGCAGCATCTCATAATGAACATCATCAGGTCCAACCAATGTACTACCATATCGATGAAGAGCAAGTTTCAGTTTCATCAGTGTAAAGGGGTAATTATAGTCATAGAGACGATCAGCCTAAAAGGAAAGAGGCGATTGCTCTGCCCAAGACTTGATGGTCAAGAAGACAGGGGAAGAAACAGAAGTGCTAGAAGCACGAGAAAAGCTGTGGCCGAGAGCATCAGCAATGCTCTAGACATCAGTAACTTCCTGGCCATTGGAGAGCAAGATGGAAATGGGATAGGAAGCATACCTCCCAGTGACTTCCCAAATCTTGTCCAATACAGTTTTGGAACTGGTGGTAGAAGAGATGCTAGTAGTGACCTTAATCCAAGACTCCTTTTGGCTTTGACGTCGAACCTGCTGAGCATGGGCACAGGCCTACTGATAAACAATGTGGTTAGAAAGAGAGGAATACCATCAGAAGGTATCCAATGCCCGTTTTTGAGACTTCCATGCCTCCTGACAGTCAGAACTCCACCATGGACGAGGATACCATGGAAAACGTGTTGAGGTTTAAGGAATAAAATGAGCAACTACCTGGACAATATGGTCAGTCCCTGCAATCACACAGTCACCTGTTGATGGCAGACAGACAAAGGCAGGATCAAGTCTGGAGAGAGAGAGGTGAAAGATGGCCACTCAGCCTGGTCCAACTTCCACCATGGCACTTGGGTCGGGTGTCATCGACCATGGCCAACCCCCTCATAGTGATCGAAAAATGATCACTGCCCCATGGGTCACTACTAACCATCCAAGAAAAGCGAGTGAAAAATGAAGGGGAGCAAATCGAGAGATCAAGGGGAGTAAAAGACTGACTAGATGCATGAAAATAAGTATATGTTCCAGTATTGAAGAGAGAAAGGTTGTGATCCGAGAGCATATGCTTTATGGAACGACCCCCCATCATTACCAGCACCACCCCAGAGGGGGTTGTGTTCATTAAAGCCTCCTAGAAGTAAAAAGGGAGAAAGCAACTGGTCAACAAAAGCATCAAGGTCTGATTGATCATAAGTCTCCCCAGGAGACAGGTAGAGAGAACATACAGTGATGGTACGACCCAAGGAAACACGGATGGCTATGGCCTCCAAGGGTGTATCGAGGGATACATATAAGGAGGGCACATGCTGGTCGGCCAGCAGTG